ATTAAACTCAATATTGAAACTATCGAGAGATATGATAACAGTATTTATAGTCCACTAATAAATTATAAACAAATAAAAAGTGATTACAAAAAAAACAGAGATATTACTTATTATTCATGTAATTAAATAGTATATAAACTTAAATATCATATCATTATCATAATTGTTATTATTCAATAATATCGCTAATATAATGATAATGCTAAAAATTATTACATATGTAATTGTTTCACATAAATAATATCATTATTAATATATATATTTTAAAAAACAAGATAACGTTTTGTTTGTTGTTTATTATTATTATTATTATTATTATTATTATTATTATTATTATTATTATTATTATTATAATATTATTATTATTATTCACTAACAAAAAAAAAGATAACATAAAACAAAACTAATAATAATAAAAAACAATTCACACAAAAAACAAACAAAACATAAATGTTATTATTATTATTATTGTTGTTGTTTTGAATACATTTTCAAATAGCAATTATCAGTTTTGTTTGTATTAATAAATACTATGAAAGCTATAATAATAATAATAATAATAACAATAGATATATGTATTGATGAGACACTACTATCCAAAGTGGACTAACAATCTCATAGTGTGTTTGTCTTTATATGTTTATGGGATCAGTTGTAGTGATGATCTTTGGACCTATCGATGAGCGCAACACTACTGTTGTGCTGACTGACTCATACTGTCTGTAAAAGCAATTGACTGACACCAGCACTGGTAGTCTCATACAGTGGTGGTGTGAGTGACACACATATACTATGTTATGATTGTTTGACATTTAAAGCACAACAACAACAACAATAACATTGATGTCTGTAATAACTCACTGTTAATACTATATATATATATATATACATATATATACATATAATATATTCATTCACTCACTATTGTATTCAATTAGTATTAGACTCACTGACTCACTCACACACACACACATTGACTACAGTATTAATAGTAGTCATCCCACGTGTGTTCAAGTGATACGATGTTTGCGGATGCGATCCATACATACTGTAGTGTATAATAACTGTTAGGACACACATTGTTGTAGATGTAGTGCTACTAAAAACACTGTCAGACATTTAGGAGACGACAAACACATACAGTATAGTAGTATTAGTCAATGGATTGGCATTATTATAGTGTGTGTCTGTGTTTGTGATGTCAAATCACGGAACCGGTATTTATAGGGGTCTAAGTTTTTTATGGGTACGGTTTTGACAATTAGATTACTATGATTAGTACCGGGGTTTTCGGGTATTGAGTTTTTTATATTAAATATAAAAATATATTGAAATTAACTTTTTTGTTGTTTTTTTTCTTTCGGCCAACGATTCCGGGTGTTTAGCAAAATTTTTATTGTTTCGGTTTAGTTTGTTGTTATAAATCTAAATCTCTAGTGTGTGACTGTAGTACTACTGTGAGTATAGTCACTACAATATATTTGTATATCAAACACACATCAAATTACAATATATTCAAACAATTATTTATACGAGAAATTCAAAAATAAGTTATTTTCCGAGAGATTTGACTTAAAATGTTAATCACTTTTATAATTCAACTATTTTTATACAGTATATTGTATGACACACTAATCTCATGTAACTCTAAACATTGAATGTCTGTCTAATATAAATTAATTGACTTTATTTTGTTTAAAAGTATATACATTTGATTGCCAATACATTCATTCATAATATATATATAGTATATTAAATCACTGAGTTATTGCATAACACTAAGAATATTCTGTTAAGTGGTATTCGATGCTATCATATATTATATATAGAATACAATTATTTATATAACATTTTATTTTCAAAAACACTACACTTTTACGACAAACATTTTATTTATTTATTGTAATTGAATTAATAATATATGAATTATAGAATAAAACTATTATTTAAAAATTAATATTTTATTATGTACTGTACTTTTTATATAATTAGTATACAGTATGTAAGCTATAAAATACAGATTTTCCAAACATAATTTACTAAATTATAAATATTAATTTTAAATAAGTTATATTACTCTATAATTAATAGGCTTTTAAATAATTAAGATATAATTAATATTTAGTGTTGATTTAGTGATGATAGCAAACTAGTGTCAAAAAATTTTGTGTATAAGTAAATTGATATTAAGTTTAATGTATTGAATTAATAAATATATATCAATACATAAGAAAAGTTAGATTTTTAAGTACTGGTAATTCAATGTCACATTACATAATAGTGCTCTCTCTCTCTCTCTCTCTCTCTCTCTCTCTCTCTCTCTCTCTCTCTCTTTCACTCACTCACTCAGTTTCACACATTCATTATGTGTACATTTAAACAGATTCTGCTCCTTAAATGTGTGCACAGAATAACATAAATAAAAAAATTCAATATCTTTACTGACGTCAATGCTTTTGGCATTATATATATATATGACATTATAAGCAATAATATTCTGGTAATAATAATAATAATAATAATAATACAATACAATACAATTACAGTAATGATACAATAGTGGCAAAATATTGCCGACAAACTTATCAAACATATTGCTGTATAATATTAATATTCAATTTTTGAAGTGTTTTTCTAATAAGAGACACACTTTTGGTACAATCGATGTTTGTTTTTGAAAGATTTATGTGAAAAATGTTGAAATGTTAGCAATTTTTTCTTGTTTATGATATTTATTAATAATATAATATTAACAAATAACCTTGACCTTAACATTATAAATATATTTATTGTATATACTGTACAAATAGATCATTAGTCAAACACACACTTATACATACAAACATAGTAAAGAAAATATATCTATTGTATGATATTATTTCATTTATGATAACATGTTTTCATAAGAATGAGTGAACAGTTTCCTAAACCTATAATAGTGATGAAGACATTATGATAAATACAAGAATATTTTTTATGCTTAACTTAATTATTTTTGTTCAAATGTTATTTCTTTTATATGTTTTGTTATCATTTTTTTGTTGATATAATTATTATCAAAAAGCAAATGTCAATATTTATTTATGACATAAATATTTATCACAAATACTAATGTAATTTAATGTATAGAAACTATATATTAAAATAATTTATTTAATTTGTTTTTACATATATTGATTATATTTTTTATTTAAATTTCTAAAAAATTATAAACAGTAAATTAATATGTTTTTTCTATATCGTATATTAAACTTTCAATTCAATTACTATCAACTTTATGACAAAACAATTGTTAATACAATTTTTAGATATAATAGACAAAAAAAAGTTAATTGATTTTCGATAAGCAATTACATTATATATATTACTAATACCGTATATCATACATCATATTTATTATATAAATATACGCATTTGATGTATTATATATTGTTTGACATTATATTATGCGATAAACTACTATCATGAGAGCTATTATATATAAAGTACATATATATATATTTAATTTAATATTGGACAATATATTATTATTATTATTAATATTATGATCATTATTATAAATGATGTAAAAATAATTATTAACTATCTTAGTAGTAAATATTTTTATCTGCAAAAATTAAACAATATCAAAGGTTAATTATATATTGTATATAAATATTATATAATAAAAAGAAAGTGATATGAATAATAATTTTTTAATTGTGTAAATATTATTTTCAATTATCCTATAAATATTGTAATTTTTGTAATTATTAAAATTATTTTTATTTTAAAGTTTTCATTTATTTTGATATAAGTTACATATTAAATAGTTTTATTTCTACAGCAAAATAATTTATATATGTATTTTTGTTATTAAACTTTTGACATTTTGGGTGACAAGTGGGTGAATTAGAGGTCAATAGGCATATCAGTCACTTACACGCAAATTGATGTGATTTACTGCTATATTGGGAATCAAGATATTATTTTGATTATATAACTATATTTTATAATATATAGTATATATATAATATTTATTATATAGTTTGAGAAACCATCCATCAGTTTGCTGTAGAAGTTGACGATCAATATTTTGATATATTTCTACAATAAATTAGATTATGAAAGAGAGAGAGAGAGAGAGAGAGAGAGAGAGAAAGAGAGCTTAAAATCCTTATAAAAATATTGGACTTAAAATTGGTTTGAAAACACAAAAATATTTATCAAAAACAACATTAAAATTTAAAAAGATTTTATTTGTATTAAATAAAAAATGATTTATAATGTTGCTGTTATTTATTTATTAATTTAAAATTTTTATCTAATATACTCAAGATATTGATTTTAAAAAATAGTTTATTTACAATTAGTTATCTTTAAATGCAAATAAATGTTTGCTATGTATTTAATTTAATTAAAAAAAGATTTTTATAAATAACTTTAATAATATTTATTTGTTTTTAATGGTACTTAATTAAAATAAAAATGATAAATTGATACTGTACAAAATAATAAATTTATAAATTAATTATTAATCTTTGCGTCAAAACAAATTACAAATTAATTATGTTGTCTAAAATTTTCTTAATATAAATAAGTTTTTTTATAAAGTTATATAAGGGTTTATTAATATAATTATATAAATAATTAAGTAAAAACAATTAAACTACAATTAGTATGAATATTTTATAATATTATTTTTTCTATTTATGTTTAATTGGGAAATTACATGAAAATAATATATAAAATATTATATATTCTTTTGGGTATCAATTATTAATAATATAAATCTAATATTTTTTTTAAATAAATAAATAAAATTATTTCAAAAAAACTAATTAAAATAATCAGAAATTTTTTTCAAACAAATATAATTTACAGAATATACAGAATTTTATACACAGAATATTTTATTGTAATAAAAATCTATTTACTGCTGACATCTATTGTCACTATTAATATTCATACGTAAAGTGTCGGCCATTACACTAATATATGCGATATAAACACAACACTAATGTATTCATCAATTAATACATTAATAATTAAATTATTAAATAAAACGTTTGTTTCAAACAATATATGATTTAAATAATTCAAACAAACAATTGATTTGATTTTCGTGTGATATTTGATTGAATGCAGTGATTGATTGGATATTAAAAAAAAATTCAGTGAAAAACACAGAGACATGTGATTACAGTAATTGCAATCAAAATTGATTACATATTAATTAATTAATTAGTATTTTAAGACCCAATTGATTGAACTAATCATTTCTTGTCTTCTCTTGTCGATCGCCGACAACATCCACAACACAATCACTTTGTCTGTCATGTCGTTAACAGACGTCACCCAAACCATAGACATCCCGTTGCCCGACGAGACGTCGTCGTCGCCCGCAATCACTGACCACAATGTGACGAACGCATTGAACAATACAAGCGCTGTTACGATGACCGCCGCAAATGGTGGTCAGATGGCCGTCAATAATGCGGCGATGGCTCACCAACATCAAACTGCGGCCAATGCGGCGATGGCCGCAATGAATTACTATCAAAACTATTATTCGGGTTATTATTCACCCGCATATCAACAACAAATGCAGCCACAAATGCCACCCCACGGCTATCCATACGCCTATATGCGGCCACCTGTCGGCCAACCAATGGTTCCAATAGTACCACAGATGCATAACCTAACGCCCAATATGGCAGCCATTGTCAACAGTACTAACAATTTGGTTAACAATAAGGCCAACAACAAAACAGGTGACTTTAAGCCGACTACTACTCCCGCAGCCAATAATTCCAACGCCAATAACAACTACAACAACAATCATAATAATGTTGACGACTCGGATTCGGACTCTGACCCGACTGTGGCCAAACACGGCTCATCGACTAAAGCATCCAATGTTTTGCCAATTCATTGTAATGAGAAAATGGGTTTAAATCCATTGATCTTTCAAAACATACAGCAGAGTCCATACTTTAAAAATAATTTATTTCAGTTAAAGACTTATCACGAGGTGATCGACGAAATCTTTTACAGTGTCCAACATCTGGAGCCGTGGGAGAAGGGATCGCGAAAGGTTAGTCTTTGTCATTAATATTTTGAATTATCATCTCTTTGTTTTCGTAGCTAATATTATCATTCATATCATACATATAATTGTTATTTAATAAAAACAATACCAAAAATGTCTAACACCAGCAAATTTTTTCAATACACAGTTGTTGTGAACCATTGATATAATCATTTAATTGATATATATTTTTCATCAGTAATATCATAAAAGATTTTATTTTTAAAAAAATAATTACTATTTTTAAAAATATTAATATAGTTTTTTCTCTTTTATATTAATATCCGATTTCATCAATGAAAACTCATGTGTTTTTGCAGAGATTAATTAATTGTATTTTACAATTGATTGATACCTTTTAACCAGCAATGAGTCCCTGAGGTTTTCTGATACCGGCGCCGATTGGATCGGTAGTGTTTTTTGTGATAATGTTTATACATTTATATATATATATATTTATATTTGTAATGTTTTATTTGTAAACTCAAATTAGATATTTGTAACAAATTTTCTGGTGATTTGACTAATTCTTTGTAGTTTATTGCTATTAATTTAAATCTAATTAATTGATTGAATTAACGGTAATTAGTATTTATGAACAGAATTACTAAAATAATTATTGTATTATATATGTATAGGTCGGCGGACAGACCGGAATGTGTGGTTCGGTGCGCGGCGTTGGTGCCGGTGGTATAATATCGACACCTTTTTGTATATTATATAAATTATATACTTTAAAACTTACCCGAAAGCAAGTGAACGGACTTATAAGGCATAAGGACTCGCCATACATACGGGCGCTCGGCTTTATGTACATACGCTTTACACAACCGCCGCCACATCTATTCAATTGGTTCGAACCGTTTCTCGATGACGAAGAAGAGGTGGATCCGAAAGCAGGCGGCGGACAGCCAATGACTATGGGACAGATGACTCGGCATATGTTATCAAAATTAGATTGGTTTTCCACACTATTTCCCCGAATACCTGTTCCCGTACAAAAAGAAATCCAAAGCAAACTTAGACAACACGACGAAGAATATGAACAACAGTTACGCGATGAGAGAGGAATAGAAGATGGAGAAGTAGAAGATGAAGAAGAAGGTGGCGGTGGTGAAGATGGCGGCGATTATGACCGAAGAGATCGACGAAGACGCGATCGCAAACAGCGTTCACCTGAACAACAACGCGAAAGACGTCATTCAACTGATAGACGCCGTTCCCGTTCACGCGATAGAGATCGTCGGTCGAGATCTCGTGATGACAAACGATCGTCAAATGATAATAAACACAGACATCGACGCTCAAAGTCTCCGCAATCGCCTCACTCTCGCCGTCACAGAGATGATCATCGATCCGACAGAAGTGGTGATCACAAACGAAAACATCGATAAAAACAGAAAAGAAAAAAAATGTTTTTTAAATCTTATTTTTTAGTAACTTTTAAAAATAATTTCATCCTATTTTATAATAAAAAACATATGTATCATATGTTTATCTATTTCACACAAAATTTAAGCCAATTTTCAAATGTTAATTTAATAAGTAACTCACAAAATACTTTTATGATATCGTTATAAAAATATGACATTAATGTATATAATGAATAAATTACTGATGATTTGTAAAAATATTTTTTGTTTTTTTTTTAATTATATTTATGAATTATTACTATTGCCTGTTAAAAGTGAACTCAAACTGGTAATTGGTTTAATAATAGGCTTAATCTTAAGTTTATTTAATAACATATTTAGTTTTGACTCCTGTGGTGGTTGTGTTGTATGTGATTCTTGTTGTGGTTGTTCTTGTATTGGTTGTTGTTGTTGTTGCTGAATGTGTTGTTGTTGTTGGTCTTGCAATGGATATCCTGATAGGGGTAGCACTGAATTGTATTGATAATCAGCCGGCGCTGATTCTTCATTCAAAAGTTGATGATTGAAATCATTTTGATTGTATTCAACGTTTTGTAAGCCATCATCTACTTGTTGTGGTTGTGTCTGCGGTATTGGAAGTGCTGACTGTGGCTGAGTTTGATGTTCGTATTGGTGCTGCTGCTGCTGTTGGTCAGGTATTTCCATTTGTTGTGGTACTACAGGTGTCGTCTCTTTTTGATAGACCGGTATTTTCTGGTAAACAGTTACCTGTTGTGTTGGCGGAGGTGTTGGTTGTATTGGTTGAAAAACTGGTACATGTTTGACAATGGGAACTTGTTTCATAATAGGTATGGGCAAAAATTTAGGCACTGGAATACTGGCCGCCACAGGAACTCTATGTGACGCTATTGGCATCGAGTGCGATGCCATAGACATGGGATGATGATGATGATGGACAGGCATACTATAGTAATTAGCATTTTATTTGTTTAAATATATTATTTTTTATTATTTGAGAAAAAAATGTATTAAATTACTTACGGATATTTCATAATCATTGATGCCTTATGCATTGGACAGGGTTGGTGTATGGGATAGGGCACCGGTACATGAACTATTTTTTCTTCTACTGTTTTGCCGCCACCACCCGACCCGCCAATAATAATGATATGTCCCCTGGATTTACGTGGTTGTGCTAACACTGTCGATAAGATTATCAAATAGATTAAACCAATTATATAATACAATAAGTTTTTCATTTTTATTATTATAACTTTTTAACACTTTTTTAAAAAACAAATTTAGATTAGATAATCAATTTAGTTAACAACTGTTATAATAATACTGTTATTTGAATATAATAGAAATATATAGCACTTGAACAGTCTATGAGTAACATTTGGTGTAATCATAGAGAAAAAAGTGAGATTAAATTTTTTTATCGATATTTAATATTAGTATAAACTTTATTATAATTTCATATATCTATATATATAAGGTATCAATCAATGTTAACAACAAAAATGATAATAAAAGTTTTTCTGTCCCCAACTCATATAATATGTATTATTTGATGTGTTTTTAAGGGTTGGGCAACAATTGACTGTTCAACTAATAAATGGTTTCAAATCGTGTCTCGAGTGACTTATTTATAACAAATAATTGTTTTTTGGAAAATTTATTTTTTGTTCACAATAATAATAATAATAATAATCATAATCAAGTGTTTGTGAAATTTTTTGTTTTATTTTGTTTTGTTGAACTAACACCTAATGTGTCTTATATTAATAGACGAATACTATTTATAAACATAATATTCAAATTAGAGTACAATTTTTGAAATTACATTTTAAAAGAAAATATGGGCCAACAGTTATTTAACATTAATCAATATACTGTATATATAAAAGTATTATGAAAACCCCATTCATTTAAATGGGCGTTAAATGTCATGTAAATTACTTTAAGCGTTAACATTAACACCAGTGAGAGTTAACTCATGAGGAGAGAGAGAGAGAGAGAGAGAGAGAGAGAGAGAGAGAGAGAGAGAGAGAGAGAGAGAGAGACTTATTTTCATCTTCAATACACAGAGAGATTTAGCTTTATTTTTAATTGCAGTGAAACACACGATACAAGTGTTTAAAGCTATATTGAATAATATTTTCAAAAACCTGTATTGCTTTTTGAAAGTTTGTTAATATTGTTAATATTGTTAATAATGTTAATCAAGTGAAACAAAAAATGCTAAATAAGAGTAAAAAATAGAGAAAGACTTCTATTGACATTCACTAATGAAATTTGAAAAATATTGTTTAAAAGTAATATATTTTATATACACTATTGTAAGTACTGTACTAATACAGTATATTTGTATATAAAGTAATAAAATTAAATAATATTTATTGTCGCAAAATATGTTGCGATAATTTTCTTAATGTTTGACTACTGGAGCGGAATATTTATGCAATTATTTAGAGCCGTCTATAAAAATAAATTGGTTTATTACTTAATATACAATACTATATATAGATTATTGTTAAATAATTATAGATAATTATAAGTTTATTGTATATTTTAAATATTTTTTTGAGTTTTATGATTTTGCAAAATTATCAGTATTATACATTTTAAAAAAATGATACAATGCTTGTAATAATTAATACAGTATAAAATTATTAAAAAAAACATATTAAATGAATATTATCATTTGCATAAAAATATAGTTAGTTTATTTTTTAGTGTATGTGTGGGTTAAAAAAACTAATGATAATAATGACTATTAATGAATGTTGAAATTAAATTTTCGCAAATTAGTCTATCATTTGACACTATAATTAACAGAAATTTATGACTATTTGTCACAAATAAATTGCTAGCAATTTTGGGGTATTAATTGGCTAATCGCTTCATTGAGCAATTGTATCGCTAAATAAATTAAATGCCACAAACATCTTACATAATTTTTTTTATATTTATATATACAATATATATTTTAGTTATCTAATAACAAATAATTTTGAAATATTTGTTAATAATTGATGTTTTTTATTTTTAACCATAGTTAAAATGTAATTATGTTTTTTTTATTAATAAATATTTCAAAATTAAATTTTTAAAAATTCAAAAATAAAAAAAATATTTTTTTGCTAATTAAACTAATATTTGTTTTTAAAGAAAAAATTTCCATTCATTCAATTTATATTACTTAAAATGCAATTTATTTAAATACAGTACAGTATAACATCATATTATTTATCATTTGATATATAAAAATAATAATAGTTTTAATTTTATTATATTAGATAATAATTACTGATTAGTACAAAATTATTTTTATGTGTTAAAATACTAGAATATACTGCAATATATTATTATAATAAAAAACATTATAATTGACAATATTTAAAATTAGAAAAAATTATTTCAATAAAAATCCTAAAATATTTATCATTGAAATGCTAATTACTATTAAATTTATAGATGAATGTCTAGTATTTGCATAGTTTCCTTCATTATGATTGTCAGTGTCTATAATAATCCTATCCTCGATACCGGTTATTATGGGTGAATGTGTTTCGATATAATCACTGAGCATTTGGTTGTCTATCATCTCATAAGCTGTAAACTCAGTTTCATTAATCATTGTATAGTTATCACCTCCATGTGCTAAATACTCGGTCAATGCAATCGAGTATTTAGCATTCAAATCAATATCTTCGTAGACAGGGGTCATACAGGAGCCGCATCTTACTCTAACGGTTAGCAAACGTTTTCCTGTGGGTAGTGTAGGGTTTAAGGTATATCTAATGCCTGACACTTGTAGAAAACCGCCTAATTTATAACTGGATGCCGAGTGCTCCAAAATTTTCCACAAATTAGCACCACTTGTGTTGAGTACACCGAGTTTGTTGCCAAACGGAGCCGTAGACATAATGTCTTTCATTGTAATATTTCCATCGCTGATGGTGTTTCTGACTGCTCCACCGTTTACAATAGCAATGGGAACTGTTGTCCAACCATTACGTCTTTCCTCTTGCGATATGTCCATAAAATAGTCGACAAATGCATCGGCAAAAAGATTACCACAATTACACTCTTTTTCTCTACACTGAGTACTGTCTAACAATACACGACTATAGCCTACAGTTTCATTAAATTTTGCATTTATCTCAGAGGCTACCGATTCCACCAGTGATCGAGTTTTCGCATCTAATTAGATAAATAATATATTTTTAAAACATTAATTTTTTGATTAATAAAAACTATTTATAAAAAAATTACACACCTTCTGGTACTTTACTATCTAATAAAATAGGATTTCCTGAATATCCGGTAATAATACCGTTTTCATCAAACTGGACGTCAAGTTTTCCCAGATATTTGCCGTAAGCAAATGCTTGCACCACAAGTGTCTTACCATTGCTCTGATGATCAAAAACAACCGGATACTCGCCCTCAGGCTTCTCGATGGATGGTATAGGGGTTCCTGTATATAAAAATGTATTACTGTGTCCGCCAACTACTATATCCAGCTCCGGGATCTGAGCAGCAATTTCTTTATCCTTTTCAAACCCGGAATGACCGACAGCTATAAAAATGTTGATATCTTTTGTGTTGTCGTTTTGCTTTAGTCTAGTAATCTCTTGTCTAATACTTTGAATTTCATCAGTAAAAGTGACATCACTGCCCGGTCGGGCCAAAAACTTAGTGTCAGGTGTTATATAACCAATTATAGCTATCTTTTTGCCCACTCTTTCCACAACAATCGACGGCTTTACCAGTTGTCTCAGTTCGCCTGAGGTCACAATATTGGCGCAAACAATAGGTAACGGTTTGTCATTTTCATCATTAGTGACATTCTTGACAAAAGGCAACAGACCAGCGACTCCATCGTCAAACTCATGATTGCCTAAAGCCATGGCGTCGTGTTTGAATAGTTTGACAAACTGTGCCACGACTTGCCATTTCTTGATTGTATACCAAACGGTTCCCTGAAAGTGGTCGCCGCCGTTCAGGAACAACACATTATTATTTGCACCGGTATTCTGTTGTTGATTAAGTATTTCGTTGACCTTTGAAAAGGAAAATATATTTTTTAAAATTTTCGTTTATTATTAGTTTTTTTATTAAATAAAAAAAAGTCAATATAACTACTACAGTATATTAATTTTTTTTGGTGCAAAAAACATGTTTGACTTTTGTGTTTTTTGTTGTTGTTATTCGTGTTTTCATTAAAAATAAAAAATAAAATTAATGTATTTTTTTTGAGTCAAAATTTTTTATTAAAACGTAAACAAATAAGTATAAATTATACTGTATTATAAATTATATATATACAGTATATATATATAAATGTTTGCTCTAAATATTTTTATAACACACATGTTTGTGTTGTATATATTTTTCAATTATTTAATATATATATATTTATAGAAATATTTGTGTAAATTAAATAGTATTTGATAATAAAAAAAGAGAGAAAGTGTATGTAATAAATAAATAGTATAATTATAGTTACAATAAAAATAAAGTCATACTTTGGTAACTGTGCGGGCGATACCACCGAAACATTTTTGATTGGACTTACATTCAGAGCTTAATTCATTAATTGGCTCATAATGTGTGTGAAAGTCGTTATTGTGTAAAATTGTTAAATTCAATGAATTACATATTAATAATAAATTTAAACTTAAAATTAATACTAATATATAAACAATATTAGTAATTATAGACATATTAATATAGTTAATTTTTGTTGTTGAATTTAACACTAATTAGCACACTTTCAGATGGTGATTTACAAATAAATAAAAAAATAAAATAATTAACCCTGTATAAATATAAAGTATATATAAATTTATATATATATTTTATATGTGTGTATAATATGTATCACAATATATATTAATACAGATTTACAGATTACATAATGATAGCAAATGTTGTATTAAATTTAATTATTACTATAATAAAATAATACTATATAAAAAATTTGATTTAATGAAAAAAGTAAATAAAATTTACAACTTTACTTTTTTTAATAGTTTACGAAAGATAATAGAAAATTTAATGATAACTTTTACAATACAAAAAAAAATATTAAAAAAGTATTAAAAAATAGTCACTTGACTTCTGTAATAATATTTGTTTAGCGATAAGTATTGTTCACCTGTTTATAATCAGTGGTGACTATAAAACACTTGTATTATTGAAAAATTATGATATATTATAATGTTATATATAAATTATATATCATAATAAATATATACGACAATTACAGTAGTGTCAGACAAAGTGTATTAAAAGTTAATTATAGCGATATTTTTGTTAAATAAAAATTTAATAACTTTCATATTGGTTTTTTAGTCAAATAACAATGACATGTATTTTTTTGTTTTGTTTGAAATCAAAATACAGTATTATATTACATTAAAAAATTATTTGTAGGCAATATATTATATAAAAAGTGTTGTTTTGTTTATTTAATTTTAATTATTATTGTAAGGATATATTGCATATATCATATATTGTATTTTTAAATAACCCATTATTTTGTAATTTTATATTTTAAATAAGCTATAGAATAATATTTGTAAATAATGTAAATAAATGTAATAATAATTATATATAATAGTATGACTTTAATATAAGTTATTATAGTGTAATAAATATTTTTACAATAGTGGTGTAAAATGATATTATGATTTTGCAAGATCACTGTAGAAATGTTGAAAAAATGATAAAATTGAAATATCATTTAGTATACATAAAAAGTAATCATCAAATAATATATATTGATTGCACTTTCAAATTTAAATATAATTTCTATGCATTTAATATTTTATCTAATTATCAAGATAAAAATATTAAAATTTCTAAAAATATGACCAATTTTAATGCGGTTTGTTTTATTTTATAAATTGAATCCTCCCCCCCCCCGATTTATCAATTAAAAATAAAATTTTTATATTTATCTAAAATTATTTGTAAAAATTAGCCTTACTTAAAAATTAAAATTTTTAACATTCATTATTTAAATAAAAAAATTTTTTTGTTATAATATTTTAAATTAAATGTAAACTGTTTATTTACAGGGTTACGATAAGGGGTAAGGCCTCATACCCCCTAAGATCAAGATTTTTAGGTTTTACCCCTTGGCCTAACAAAAAAAAAGTTAGGGGCCCCTACCTATTTTCGGTACTTTTATTTTTAATTTATATAAAAGCTAATATTAAAAAAAAAATAAATGTAAAGTTAATATAAATAGCTTATTTATACAAAATAAGTAAATAAAAATTAGTTAAATGCTGAAAAACTAATTACATTACTATAACATTATTTATACTATTAATAGATATAAAATCACTTTCAAAATATGTGAGAAAGAAATTTTTGGGAATAACTTTATAGTGGAAAGAAATTGAGTAAATATCTCAATAATTATAGTAGATATTAAAATTCTGTAAATGTTATAATATTATATTTAAATGACCAACATCGTTTTTATAAATAGTTTAGCTATACAGTAATATACAATATATAAATATTATTTAAACATTTACAGCTAATTGAAAATGATAGATAGATTAGCCAAAACTATTTTATAGAAACTATGTATAATTGTTTTGTGTATTTAAACTAATTATCTCACTCACCCACTCACCCACTCACTCACCATTTATCTATTCACACACTTATTAACAAATGTTTTGCATGAACTGACAAAATGTGATTTTATAAATAAAAAATTACATGAATATAAAATATTGCAATTTTATTTGATTGTATTAAAAAAATATATGATAAATCAAATACATTTTAAATCATATCATTTTTCTATAAAAACAATTAAGTATTTATATAATTACTATTCTTAATATAATACACATTTTTAAAAATCAATTTTTAGAAACTAATTTAATTATTAAATACCGTAAAATATATTTTAAAATAATACTAAAATTGCGACAAAACATTGCATAAAATAATAATTGCTTTCATTATTTATAAGATATATAATTGTCATTTAAATTGACCAAATAAATTGTAGAGTACTGTACCGTATTTGCTCAATTAATACATAGTTATAGTTAGGGTGTGGGTGCCAGCAATGTCATACCGGCACAAGTGGTCATACAGACGCCAATACACTAAACCAATGCTAATACTACATAATATAACTATTTGTTTCTACTGTATTATAGCAGTAACTTAACTATTATACAAACAAATAATAAATCACAAATTATGCTAAATTATACTAAATAAAACTAAACTAAATTAAAATTATACTAAACAATTTTCATAATACATTTATCAATTTAATACTTACCGGTAAATAAATAATTGATTGTTTTTAAAACTTATGATACGTGTCATATGCATTAGTTATTATACTGTATTTTATAATACATCAGTCATCCACACTATCATCCAATTAGTCTCATACCGACTCTTTGGGTTAACTGATTGTTTGATTTGTTGGTTAGTGGTCTCATACCGACTCACGCAACCTAACTGACCGATCAATTAGGACTTCCTAAGTCCCGTTGATCGATCAACTGATATATATTATAACCACAACAACATAATTAAAATTTTTATAATATAAGAAAAATTATTTTAGAATTTAATTGAATACTGAATTTAATATATACTTTTAACAAAATATAATTAATTAAATAAAAATAAGTATATGTTATATTGATTATATAATAATTAGATTTCAAAAATTAATTATTAAAGGAATAAAACAAAAAACAATTTTTCATTCAAAATCTAATATACTTATTTGAAAACTAATTTAATATTTAGAATACATGTAATATGAAAAAGCATTGAATAAAAAGATTTATTGATATACAATAGATATACATATATAGATATATATATATAATTTTGATAATTAATAGTCATTTATATAGATTAAAATTTATTTGAATATTATATCTATAGTTATATTTAGGGTGTGGGTGCCAGCAATGTCATAGTAGCACATGCGGCCATACAGGCACCTTGAGCTGCACTACAGGCCAATACAGCAGCCGGTATAGCGGCACCGGCCGTTAACGTGCCGGCAGTCACACCAGCGGCAGTACAACACGCGACATAAGCGGCATTACAGCCGGTCTGACACAAACCATACGATGCGAGGAACCCGAGGACACCACAGGAAGAGTAGTGGACACATGAGATGACCAACAAAACGATTAGTAACTTATTAACCATTATTTTTGTCACAATCTTTCTGTACTTTTAATATCTACAACAATAAGAACGCAATAATTTTAGTTAATTAATATATTTTTTAAAATACAGTGAAATAATTAATTAAAATATAAATTATAATTTGATACCAATGTTATAAATCAGTATTTTTAATATTCAATTATTAATCAATTTACTATTAAACTATTATTTATAATTACAATTTTTAATATATATATATCATATAATCAAATTAATTATAGAAATAACAAAATTATTATAATTTTAGTAAATAACTATTCCTTTGTTTCAGTTTATTAATATTAAATAATAGTTTAATTATCTGATAGTATCTTAACAATTGTAATCTGAAACTTAGGTAAATATCAATATATTATATAAATTATGTTAAATATTAGAATATATTGAAATTTTTGATAATTAATAACAAAAGTTAAACTTTACAACAGTAATCAATAAACATAAATAATTATTAACGTTAATCAACTATAAGTAATTAAAAACTATACTCATATAGAATTAGAGTAAATTACATTTAATTTTAATGTTAAAATAAATTTATAAATACCGTAAGTAAAGATTTAAATGTTAAAGTGTATATTGTACATAGTTTATTAAATAAATGTACAGTATATGAGTTATACTTATTATACATGTTTACATATTATACATACATACATATTAAAATATACCATATTGGTTATTTATAACAGTTTGATTATTATTATTAAATTATTACTCATGTTCTTTAAATGTTTCTAAATTTAAATTCACATAATATACATAGTTTACATATTATACTTAATGTGAATTTAAATTTAGAAACATTTCACTAAAATGAGTAATAATTATCATAAATAGCACTTTCACTACATTTATTACCCTTCAAATACCTGTCGACATATTTAAAGGTCACCCCTATTTAAAACCATTATATAAGTCATAGAATTGATCATTCAATTACATTGAATATATTTGATATTATTGTGTTTACGACTTTTACTGTTAAACTATAATAAATTTGTAATTAAATTTAATATTTCAATAAATTAAGTTTTAATTGATTTGTGCGCCAAAAAAGTAAATAACGTAAAACTTTTGGCAAATGTTTTACATATTTTTTTAGGTATTTTAAAATTGTTATGATAATGTCATTGTTACTAATTTACAATTTAATAATATATTTTTGATAATTATAAAAACACTTTTTATTAATTTGTAAAATGTAAAAATTGATTGTACAGTACATTAAAATATAGTTATTTAATAAAATAGCAATAGATGGCCACCATGCTATTACATTTTTAACCTAGCTCATTAATAAAAAAAGTATAAAAATATAAAGGTCAGAGTTTGTCTCATAGTTTGTTACCATTAATTATATCACAAAAATATATATTGTTCCTAATTAATTGTATAATTAAAAAAAATATTTAGTTAAAAGTATTAAATTTTATATAAAAAAATATTTTTATATCATATATATATATATTCTATATTTATTAATATTTATTACTATTATTGTTTATCTAATTTTACTATAAATACTTAAGAAGTTTTTAAATTAAATAAAAAAATAGATAAATATCAGATTTTTAAAAAATCAATGGTTTTATAATAACAAGAGATATATTGTTTAATGATTTTATTAATTTTTTACTGTAAATACTTTAATTGACATAAAAATAAGAAAATAATTAGATTTAATGCAAATATACATAAATTACTGTATGATATGAAACAAAAGACTAACTGTTTATTCATTAAAAATTTTGTATTCAGTCATCCATTTGTCACATCCTTTATATTTATGAATATTAATGAACTTTTATTTTAATATATTTTTTAGATTTATAAAATGTGTACTTTATATACTAATATTAAATGTATAACTGTATAAAACTTTTTTTTGTCAAATTTAAATATTTGATTTTATCTTTATTTAAATAAACATAAATGTAAAAAAGTATTATACTCTTGTAATTATCGTTAAGTTTATATATCATTAAATAATTAAATTTCAAAAAATATTATTGATTCATCTAACGTTAATTATTATATCTTTTATAAACTAAAATGATATAAAAATAACTTTCTAATTGGATATATAATAATAATATTTAGATTAATTTACATAATTTTTAGTAAATACATTTAAGTAATATTTAATTCATTGATATTAATTATATTTTTATTATAGCTGAAAGCGATATACAAAAGCAAAAAAAAAATATATGGTTTCATATAACTTATTTGTTTTACCTTATATTGTATATATGTATATTCATGTTGTAATATACTGTATAACTTATATTACACAAAAAATCAATTGTTAATCCAGAAAAAGTCACTTAATTTTATATAATAAAATTGATATAAATATGTGTCGTAAATGTTTTGTCTGCTAATGTAATAATGTTTGTCTTTTTTTGTCTAATGTTAGTAATTTTATTGAAGAAAAAATAATAAAATAAATATTAAATTTTATTTTGTTATTATACTATCACTAATTTTATGTATCTATGTTTTAGTGCAGTCCCTATGTGTGTACACACTGTGTATATATGTGTGTTTTGATGAAATAATTACTTTTCATAATAACTTAATAAAAAAATAATATTGTGATAATTAATTTATTGATTGATTCAATAGATTTATTAATAAAATAATAGTAAACAATATATATATATATATATATATATACTATACTGAATTGGTGACAATATTTTGATTGACAAAAATGAGAAATTTCTAAAAATTAAAGGAATTATCTAATAATAATTTTTATACATGAGATTACCATAATAGTTTTTTTTTGATTAATATAAAATTGAATTTATATTATAACTTTACAATTACTTATTGTAAACATGATGTTCAAGTACTGAGTTTCTAAGATATATTATAATAAAAATAAGATAATATAAATAGTAAGTGATTATAATGAAGATTATGAATTTTCTATTATATAATAATCTAAAGTACTGTATTATAAATTATTTAATATTTTAAAAAATCAACATAAACTGTTAAGTTTTACATACAGTACATTGTATAGAGATTTTTGTATTGAGAAAATATTATTGCTGTCAATGTTTAAGATAAAAACGGACACAAAATATGATAAGCCATTAATAATATAATAAGTCAACGATAACAATGAGATAAATGTCAAAATATTTTTAAGTCATATAAATTTATGAAAACCGGGAGGTTTTTGGGGAAACAACACAATGAATTGGGTAATGTTGGCGGTCTGTCAGTGCTTTG